CACGTGTTAATATTAAATTTATATATGTCTTCGTATAGCAATAAAATTCTTACAAGATAGTATGTATTCGAGCATTTCGTAGCACAGTCCGTATGATAGAAGGATCGTAATGAATTAACTGTAATTTATTACTGCTCCGGTGCCAACTAACGTATTTTCAAGTAAATTTCACTGTCCATACGCTTATATGCTTAATTATGCTACCAATCATACCCCCACATATAACTCTTCTCAACCCTGATAATATGGGGCATTGCGCTCAATAACCATCTCTGTACCCCGGTCCTATGACACAGATAAACAATGTGGAACGAGTTCGAGAAGTATGTTTCCTATCCTAAGTATATACATAAGTGAAAGGAAAACTATTAAATGATAAAACTCGTGCTTCAAAAAATACCACAAACCTCATCCAAAGTGGAGTATATCACAGTATCCAATATGTGTTACTAACAATACTGAATATACACACTCGTACAATTTTAACTCAAATATTAGATCAGTATTGCAACAGTGTTCTCTGTATTTATTGGACCGTATATTTTTATAGTCGACATATAAGTCTGCACACCTACTTTCGAGCGAGTACTCTATGAGCTTATGAGATATGTACCCTTCTACCAGTTGTTTGATACCTTGTGAGCGAGTTTGAGCTACGTTATATTAGTTATGATATAAGAAATTTCGTTCGTTGATAATAATAAATCATCATAAGGATCTGATAGGTTTATTCGCTAGTACTTAGCTTCATCTGACGTAGTCAGCGTGCATGAGTCTTATATATATATATTCTATGCGTAAAGGGTCAGCTATAAATGATCGCTTACTGGTCACGTTAGTAAGTCACCCAACGGTCCGTTGCATCAACAGTTGGGCACAAATCTTAACAGCTTGACGATCATCGGTCACGATTTAATATACAGGGCGACGTTCTACTGAGTGTTAACCTAATTGTAAACTGCTAAAGGAAACAATTTCAATGCACGGACGCTCCAAAACGAGTATGTGAGTGAGAAATATACAGTATTACGAAAAAGTACTGCATACATGTTAAATTATAAATGGAGTGTCGCCCACTACAAAGGTCTAGAATGCAAAAAATTAAGTATGAGAAGGGAGAATCAGAATAGCGCATGCATTAAATTTGAGGAGTTTGAGTTTATTGCAACGTAAATGGCACAGTAAATTGGCGCCTTGCAGAGCACTTATATTAAAAAAGGAGCGCTTGACCTAAGCTAGTAGATAGTTGAATGCGTACACTTACCATATCCATGCGAATGCTGTGCATGAAAATACAGCCAACACTCGACTGTGCCGAAATATGGTCAGTACATGCTCCATTTGGTGGTCACATGTCATGAAGACTCAAATCAGAGAATGGCTTTCTCACAGGGTCAGATTCTTTTAGAATATTTGTCTTTTCTATATAAGAGACGAGCAAGAGAGAACACGCTGGACACCTAATCGAGGAAACTTAGAATGACTGCAAAGAGCTTTTTTTGTATTCCTTCAGCTCGAAGTCTTGGTATCTTCTACCCTTTTGGGGTTTTATCAATCTTTACGTAAGCAGACATGACACATAGACAAACTAATAAGTGACTGAATTCTAGCTCAAACATAGCAAAGTCTATTTATTATGCGAATAGGAGGAGCTCAGCTAAAAGGCCACAGTCAGTCTGAGTAACCTTTTGCCTTCAGGTAAAGTGATACGGAATTAAGGATTATATAGTGACATAGGATTATGGTCCTATGTGTCGTTAAAGCGATGGCATTATAGTTCATCAAACCATTGATAGAGCGTGTATTCTACTACAGCTTTTACATACCTACGATACCGTCAATCGTCTAGTCAGTAGGCTTTCTCATATTCATGCGCGTAGTCATCGCATAGTCTAGAAAGCCAATAAAGCCTAAGTGGATATAGACTATGACAGTACGGTCTACGGTAAATCTATAAAAATGCCAATAAACGGACGTAACCCCTGCGAGATACAGCACAGGATGATATGGGAGGCCGCTACGTCACGATTATATGGTCCTCGTGGATATTCGAATCCCATCATGATTTAATTCTATTATATATCTGGGTTTTCTGTATTTCTTTAGCCGTGAATTTCTAGGTATTCTTTATCTATTTTAAACTATTCGTATTTTTACCAGAGTATAATATACACAAACGGTTTGATACGTTTTCATGAATATCATTAGTGTACAATCAAATTACCATAACAAGCACCAGAGATACAATTCCGACATTTTAGTGCTCACATACTATAATAAGTCTATATTCATAAATAAGAGCATATGATGTGTCTATATAAGATGTGTTGCAGGAGGGTATGACGATCGCATAACGGCTGATAGTGTGTTAAACTGAGTTAGCAGTATGCGAGTGTATGATGCCAGTTATAGAAATATATAACTAGAGACTTTGTGTGCGTCATATGCAGCCGTATAAGCTGTGAAACATGCACCACTAAACAACAGTAGAAGTTTCCACGATGAACACCCTGCTAACATCTTGTCTGCTGTTCTATTCTATAAAACACTATTGATTTAGGTTTATTTAGGATGAGAGGGTAAGCATTCAGCGATGAGGCAACGAAGTGTATGCTGAAAATGATTGTGTACGCAAATGCGTGTCTGTATCGATATGATATCACAATAGCCATGTGTATCTAACTACAGTCCCTAACACTACATGGAGAGTAGTCAGCCGACATCGGCCTTACCTGTTACACCTAGTATACCAGTAGTAGTCGTAGATCAAAGTCAGAGTATCTTACTCTAAGTATAATGCTAAGAGCCCAATGAGCGGTATCTTGGCCGCCTTGGTTATGCCGTACTTATATATTGCGGTTAATTCATATCTATAAACTAAAGACTTACACAGCACACATCGGAGAGCGCAAGACCTCACGCCAGGCCAGCTGAATGTCGTTAAACTTCGTGCCCTGAAGACAATGTATGTGACTATAACGTATAACGTTTATTTAATCTGGTCAATTTCGCCGATCACCAATCCCATACATGTAATCAATTCTAAGCGTTTACACCATCTCTCACTGACCTCTGATCTCCTTGGTAAGTTTAATTTTTTATTAGAGTTATAATTAATTTAAATCCATTAATAAATATAGATATAAAGTAGCTATCCGGGAGTCATGCGACCTACATTGAAATCTCTAATACACAATTTCTGAGACGTCTAAGTAGAACTACGCGCGCACTAATAGATACACCCGACATGTCAGTCAGCGCTATGCGCTTCATAAGAAATTATCATGAGCTCAAAGTTACAATCCTCGAGGAGTGCCATAACTTTTTACATAAGTATCATATCGTGGCGTAGCCTACACAAAACAACCACAAAACCAAAACAAACACACGCCGAACAAACACACGTCCTGGTTGAGCTAGGAAAAACACTTATGTAATCAAACCTTTAACCTTAGGCGCAAACTTCCTGCTTTGTTGGTGCATAACGTAATTACAAGGTAGGTAATAATCACGCATTCCGTGCATCCGCCTTATCCGCACATATCGACAACGGCCCATATTATCCTGCCTATTTGTAGATCTTGGAACTTTAGTTTGCTCAACAAAGTTAA